ACCGTACGTACGTACGTACGTACGTAACCGTAACGAGTAGTGTGNGNGNGNGGGGGGGGGGGGTATTGAGTAATACATAATTCTACTCTTAAGAAGCTTTCACTACCGATTTTTTAATTCGGATTTACTCCTAATTACTGACGCGCATGTCAATTATTATCTCTATATTATAGAATCAAGATTAGACACTAGTCCACTTTTAGTGACGTATAAATGTCTAGGACTTACAACTCAATAAATTAGTCATTCATAAATAATAAGTTTATTGGTCTCTATAGTCACCCTCTCAACTAGTCAGTTTAAAAAAATATAACTACATGTCAATTGTCAGACTAAATATGACTATTTATACATATTAAGCTATTTTATATTTAATATACATCATAGATATGTCTTTTTTATGAGGCTATGATAGGGTTTTAGGGTTTAAGGTTTTATTTATAAAAAAAGCTCATAGCCCCCTGAAAAAAAACAAAAAACTACATTAGTTATGTATGTACATATTACATTTTTTTTGTGACTATTTTTAAAATATCATAATATTTAGGCTTTTGAGTGTTGAAGTCTGCTGGAGACGGGATCGGGGAGTCTGGGACTCTGGGAACAGAAGTTCATACAGAAGTGAGAACATCAAAAATGAGAAAAAGCAGATTGCAGAATGTCTGAAGCGAAGGAGGTTAAAAAAACCCCCCCGAACCCCCCTGTCCCCCACCTCCTAAAAAAAAAGCAAGACAAATATTTATGAGTACAGATTTTGTTTGTTTTTAAATATATGTATATAGTACATACAGATATTTTCAATGCTTCATAGCCTGGGTTTTACATTCTAAATTCAAAATTGAACATGTCATTTTTATATTTTGGTTTTCTTTTAAAAATCGTGACTCGTGAGTCGAGTGAGTAGTGACTCCGAGTTCCGACTCCGAGAGCTATGTCTGTTTTTGTGTTTTACTGTTTTTGTATGTTTTTTGTTTGTTTTGTTTTAAAAATCAAATACCCCTAAATGTTTTATATATAAAAAACCACTACATACTAAACACTGCTGACTAAATATATATATATATATATTTTAAAATACTGTAAATACTACATAAATATGTTGTTTATTTGTAAAATAAAAGTCCTTTAGAAGGCTATGCTTTATATATTTAGTCGTTTTAGGATCCAGGTTACCGACACCAGGTTTCCGCCAATGTGGCCATGTCGGAAAGGTTCGACTGCGGAAACATCTGAACACAGTGAACAGTGAACACTATGGTCTATAAAGTATGAAGTATGAACAGCTTCAGCCTTCAGCCTTCAATAATAGATTCAGGGAATCAGGTGAACAACTGAACACAGTGACAGAACAGTGAGAACACTGAACACCGAACACTGAAGTTGAAAACATCAAAACCGAACAGTTCAATAGAGGAGCTAAAAATTGCATCCTGCTCCCAACTGGTGTAAATATTTAACTTCTTAACCAATCCTACTACTTGTGTGTAGTATTTCGGACTCTGCTCTTAGATTTATTTTGCTCTTAGATTTATTACTTTTTTATTCTTTTTTAAGTAAGTTATGTAATATGTAATCGCCAATCATGGCAATCATACACGATGGCCTCCAGACTCCAGCGGCTCAGGGCCGTCAAGTTGAAGCGGGCCTGTATTTCAGTATTTGGAACTGGTCTATATTTCTACGTTCCCTCTAGTATCGGCCAGTATCGGCTAGTGTATCCAACTGTCTATGCACCGTGTAAAAACGTGAGTATTGAATGTAGCGCGCAAGGGAATTATATAAACAGTGTTGACTGTATAGATAATGCATAACAAACACTGCACTCCATTTTATTGAACACGATATAATTGCAGACATGACAGTTCTATTCCCAACCAACAGTTCCAGAACAGCCAACACCACAACAACAGATACCACTAACAATGAAGTCTTCAGTCCCGTATCCCTTTCTGATGCCGTGCCTACAACACAGGGATATATCAAGCCCAAAGAATCGGTGAGTGTAGTAGTGCTAGCCCCATCCGACATCGAGGACGAAAGCGAAGGGCGAGGATCATGGCATCACGCGTCGGTTCACATAGTCACCGCCAGTATTGGTACCGGTATCCTGGGCCTCTCTAAAGCCTTTGGTCAACTCAATTTGATCACAAGTGCTCCAGGCCTCGTAGGTGTTATATTTTTGAGCATAGCATTCGTGATTAATTGGTACACATCGTGGTGTCTATCTAAGATACATATCGTTGCGCCGTCCGAGGGATTCCCAAAGGGGCGCAGGCTAAAGACATTCCTGGAAGTCGGCGCATACGCATGGGGCAACAAGATTGTCAACTATATCCTCACTCCTCTACAGTTGTTCAACTGTGTAGGTACTGGAATCGCCTACCTGATTGTAGCGGGGCAAAACATACAAAGTATATACAGGTTGTATGGCGGATCACCAGACACCAGATTGATGCTTTTCACGATTGCGGCTATCGTGTGTCAATTGGTACTGTGTCTATTTCCATCGCTAGAGTCCTTTCAGGGCATGTCGTTAGTAGGCGCCATCATGAGTATGGTCTACGCCCTGATCGCCATTGTACTGTGTTTCGTTTTGTATGGAAGTCCAGATATCTCACCAGAGCCAACATATGAAATCAGTACAGGCGTAGACGCCATGTGGAACATGTTTTTAGGCATCTCCACGGTTGCATTCCTTTTCGGAATGCAGGCCATTCAGCCCGATATTCAGAATACACTTCGCAGAGAGAATCCTACCTCCGAGATTGGCTATATGCGCGGTTTGGCCGGTGCATACAGTGTTACGATCCCTCTGTATGTTCTCATTGGAGTAGCGGGCTACCTGACATTCGGAGCAGCAGTGTCATCAGATATTCTGGTGAGCATCAGCGATGTCGCCACCGGGTCTGTGGTCAAGGCTTTCATTACCATTGCGCAGGTGACGGTTGTTGTCCATGTCATTGTGGCTTACCAGGTCTGGTCGATGCCCGTTTACGCTCTATTTGAACAATGGAGGGCCAAGTATATCAACAGAAATAAGGAAAACCTACCCCAGCGATCTATTGAAAAGCCCGTAACCGGCGAAAAACTTTCATCTTCCTCGAACCAAGTTGAAAGCTCATTGACTGTCGAACCCGCCGATGTGGTAAAGTCCAAATTTAGTCTGAACCTATCACTCAGTCCAACTATAATTGCTATCCGGTTTGCGTACGTGGGTTTCTGCGGGTTCGTAGCCATGGCAATACCTTTTTTTGGAGACATCATGGCTTTGAATGGTTCCGTAGCCATCGTCCCTCTATGTTTCATCTGTCCTATCATCCTGCGATTCACTGGCGAGGACCGTGCGAGTATAAATACACCAGAGAAGGTGTGGGCTCTGTTTATTTTGATTGTCATGTGCACAATAGCAGTGGTGGGTGGTATCTCGGCGGTCAGACAAATTGTTCTGGATGCTGGTACATACCAGCTGTTTATGTAAATTTGATTTTGATTTTCTAATAAAGAATTTAGAAAAGTAGAATGTTTATAATCGTAAAGCCAGTTCGGTATCGTTTTAGCGGAAGCTACGCCCGCTTGCTATTTGATAACACCAGACTCATGTATCAATAGGTGTATGTAGCTATGTTCTAGCTACTCAAAGTAAAGTGGTTTGAGGTAGGATGTATTATACTCACTATATATAAAGCCCCACAGTAAATTTGTGTGCATAGTGCACCCAAAAATACATCATGGGTAGGATAAATTGGACCTGTGCAGGAGCTATATTGACCGCGAACCTTGCCGCGAGTTTTTGTATATAAGCGTTTTGCAATTAGTTCGTCGGTTTTGCAGTTTGTTTGTCACCTATATAAATGGTCAGTCTACTACCGGGTATAAATTCTCACTTGGTCCGTACAACACCACAATGCCGAATTGCACATAGTATACATATACCACTGATAGGCGGGTATATCGCGTTGATGCTCAGATCGAGTGAAACCCTGGTAAGAATAGTTGTATGTGAAAGGCATACTTGTAAAAGTCATGTGAAAATTCGCGCATGCATTTGTGTCCAATCTCTCATACATCCCTAAACCCAGAAAATTATAGTATTAAAGTGTAGTAGCTGTGCGTATAAATTTAATATTACAGCCTGTCGCCTAGCAAAGACCTATATTGAGCGTACTAGGGATTCTCACCCGTTCCCGCTCTGTACCATCTCCCGCTGCATCGTACGTCTGCGATAGTTTCCAAATTTCAGGTACGTTTACGGCGTTCCATGGTTCGATAGCGTCAAACCCGATTTCTACAGTTACTGATGCAGTTTCGATCAAGTGAACAAATCGACTGAGCTAAGATAAGACGTGCGAATACCCGCAAAGTTCCCTCCCGAGGCGGTGGCTGTCGTTCCTGCCGGTCAGTTGTTGCTACACACGCTGTTGAGGTGACCGATATCACTTCGACTCCCCTGTGTGTGCACGCGTACGGGTGCGCCCTTCCAAAAGTCGGCATATACTCATGCATGTACCTATGCATGTACTTATTCATAAGTGAGTGAGAATGTTTTGTGCGGCACGTTTGATCCATAGAAGTGCATCCGACAAAGATCGTGCCCACAAGCGGCTTCGTTCCGAACTTCCATCGCATGCGCACTACCGGCTTAGAGTACTTGCTATTGCACTTTAGGACTTAAGTTAAGTGCTCGGATGTATCATTCTCGCCGCACCGCTCTGCAGCACTATCAAACAAACAGCCCAGGTTCAACTATAACGCACACATTGTGCGATCATACAGTTACCTGCTTATCTGAAGGACCTTGCAGACAGGCGGTCGCGTACTGGTCTATACGGTGCCCCAACAGCACATGGCCCAACTACTGACCAGATGTGCTATAGTTAGGCCACCCACGCACCCTACGAGAAACAGATACGTTACAAAGGCTAGATAAGCCACTGGTACACTGAGTATACGCACTACGTACTGTCTTCTACCCCACTGTGTGCGTTGTCAAGTGTCTGTATGTACTTTGTATAGCCAGTTGAGTACTGCATTGAGGGGCTGTACTGACTGTAGGCAACTAGCAACGCTATATTTCAGAGTGCACACAGTACGCTCACTCTGCCGTGTCGATCTGGGCGTACCACAAAGACTATCTGGTACGGCTGTATATATGCCGTGGGTAATCGCTAAGAATATCATGAGGCTCATGAGGCTGCCCAGTCATGCCACATGCTGCGTTGTATGTGTGTAGTGCCCAGTCATGCCACATGCTGCGTTGTATGTGTGTAGATAGATACCTTGCAATGTGGGTCGTCGATGGTATGCCGTCGGTATTCTATACCAATAAATTCCATATCATCCATGGAGTGCACATATGCGCGATCCTACCAATACATATCCAACATCTTGCATATCCTCAATTGAATGTACATGTATGCGACCCTTATACTTTGGCGCCTGTTTCGTCTTGTTGGGTATCCAGTGTGGGCCGCCATCCCAACACTACGGCATCTCTGTCACTCACACTGCTAGCTCAGCGAATGGTCACGGGGTTGGTACGGTTTGAAACCGTTGGCACGCAATCCCTTCTTCAGGTGCATGACTGTAGCAGACTCTCTGCGTGCATATACAATACGTTTGCATCTGCCTTATCATCACCCTCGGTAACCATCGGAACACAAACGCATCGCTTGCCGAGTGCAAAGACTCTGAGGACTTAACCTCCACCAAATTGGCGCAAGTAGAGTGCTGTGAAGTCGCCTTATGGTCGCCATAGGCTAGTGCACGCGGTCGGTCCTCGAGTATGGGCCCTCATGCATATCTATTTATAGAACATTGAGATACTGTCCCCATATCTATTTATAGAACATTGAGATAATGTCCCAGGCTTTGGGTTTCTGTCCACTCAGCCGGGATGACGAACCCCATTCGGATCCGCCGTAGGCTGCCACGGGGCGTGCTCACATCCACTGAGCGAGCCTTACGGAATTTCGTAATAAAACTGCTCAGGACGACAGACAGTCCCGGTCTCCGTTTTAGGGTTTTCAGGCGTTTATCAGGCGTTTAAGCCCTAAAACCACAGGTGGGTTTAGGGTTAGAGTTAGGGAGAGGGGGTGTAGTGCCCTTGCTTGTGGTCTGGGAAAGATCACACTATGCGAGTGAGCTCCAGTTGAATCCTCTCCATGTCCTACCATGCGTACGTCCCTCACCCCCATGCCCCACTAAGTTTGCTTCTGTTCTGGGTCGTCAAGTATGCAATCGGTTCGCAGTCACATCTCGCGAAGCCACATGGTTCGTTCCCGATAGGCGACAGACACATATGTGCTTCGGTTGTATATCACATCAGCCACTCCAAAGGTCAAACTCTTTCAGTATGTCCCACCCGCCCCAAGTTGCGCACCCGTCCAGCCAGCTACGTCCAAAACCCGTCCTACGAGCCAATGGAATCAAGCAATACGAGAGGCCAGTAGACATCGAGAATTTGGGCGGCCCGCGCCAAATCCGCCTCCTGTATGCCAATAACGTGAATATTCATCCCAATTCTCAGAAAACCTCTAGAAATCGAAATCTTCAGCCTCTTCATCGTCTGAAAATTGGTACGTGCCGTCTGCGCCCACGTTGTCCACATCCGGCCCTTTACCCAACAGTGCCTGCATCGCTTGCGTCTGCTTCTTGGCTTCATCGTCTGATTCCTGCGATAAGCCGTGTAATGACAGAATTTAAAAATATATATATATACATACATATACATACATTCACACACACATAAATATATATATATACACGCATATAGAAGCACATGCACATGCACATACATACACATACACAAGTACATTCACATGCGCAAACACACGCATATACATACTAACGTACACACAAATGGGCTATGTGTAGTACGCATACGTTGTAATCGTCCGCATGTAGTAATTCGTCGTCTAAGTCTGAGTAAGCATCTAGGTCCTCCGCAGCCATAGTCTTGCGTTTGATACCACCGCCGACAGTCGTTACTGCACTAGCGCTAGGCGTCTCGGTGCTTGCGCCTGCACTTACGGCTGTAGTCATATCCTTTCCGTCCTGTAGGCATATGGTTATGAGGTGAGAAGCCTTCGCGCAGATAGTTCTAACATAGAAGTGGCGTATGCGAGTGTGCATACATACGTCTCAGAAGACAACTAACACAGCTGCGTGTATGTCGCTGGAGAAGTGGCAGAGATACCAATGTATCTTATACAAGGTGCATTTATAAATGTATATTAAGTATATTAAGTATAGTGGTGTAGTAAATATATCTTACACAAGGTGCATTTATATGTATATTAAGTATATTAAGTATATTAAGTATATGGTGTAATAAACGTATCATATACAAGGTGCATTTATATATGTATATGTATATTAAGTACAATGGTGTAGTGCCTAAATGGTAATTACAAGGTGCATGGGTTATCCAGCCGGCCGTAAATAGTACTGTCTGGGTCGATACCAAGCTCGCAAAGGTACCAAGTGTCTTCACCTGTCCGTTCTGAAACGCCTGCCATGTGCACCTGACCGTCCGGGCGGTACAGTACACACGCACACAGACACGCCAACAAAACACACGCATACAGCCCCTCAACACACGCAGATACATCCACACACACACGCACACACACACACATATATATATTTATATATATACCTCGGTCTTGTACCCGATAGCCGCTGTAGAGTCCTTGCTGAACACAGTCCCCTCCTCCAAGTCCTTATCAAGCTCCTCTAACTGTGAGATGGCGGCGTAGTTGAGTTTGCGGGACAGCTTGGCCCGTTGTAGGGACTCCTCGAGCTCTTTCTTCTTACGTTCCTTATCCGTGGCGTTGGGGTCCATGCGCAGTTTCTTCTTCTGTCGTTTCTTCGGTGGGTCGATGTTGTTGGCGCGGTTCAGTTCATCGATTTTCTGTTTCTCTGTGGTTGTGTGTAGAGTGGATAGGGCTCAATACACGAACTGTAATACTGCGCGAAGGCTTCCGCCTGATATGAATCTAACACAGGTGTACATGCGTTGACATATGTAAAATTGAACGTACATGCATGTACGTTTTGTG